TTTACTACTTGTTGTTGATATTCTTTGAAAATTGGGGATTTAGCTTGCTTCAGTGCAACAGCAAGGGCAGTAATAGTGTGATTATGTGGACCTCCCTGATGACCAGGAAATACTGATTGATTAATAGGATTTTCAAGGTCATAGAGGATTTCTTTACCGGCATATTTATGAGTATATATAAGTTATAATCTATAAAGTATTAAAATATTTATTTATTATGCTCACCTTTACCCTTACTATCAACTTTTCTAACACCTTTTCTATAAAATATCATAGCGCCACGAGGACCTCGAAGAGATTTATGTGTTGTGGTTGTAACAATATCAGCAAATTCAAAAGGTGAAGGCAGTACACCAGCTGAAATCATACCTAAAAATATAAAGCAAGTTTAACATAAAACTAATTTCATCTATAAACCATAAATTAAATACTAGTGTATTACCGCTTATATGAGCAATATCAGCCATCAAATAAGCATTTATTTTATCAGTAATTTTTTTCATACGCGCATAGTCATAATTTCTTGGGTAAGCGCTGGCCCCAGCAATTATAAGTTTTGGACGATATAACTTGGCAGTGGCTTCAAGAGCATCATAATCTATTATACCAGTTTTTTCACTCAATCTATATGGCACAGTCTCAAAATACTCAGATACAGCCGATATCTTTTTAGTATCTGTTTGGTAACCATGAGACAAACTCAAATAAGAAATCTTTGTCAGAAAGTAATAAAATTTTATTTCAAGAAAAAAATATGATTTAAAAAATACATACTGTCCACCATGTGGTAAATCTAAACCCATCAACCTTCCATGTGGTTTCAACGTTGCATTATAAACATATAAATTAGCCGGTGCCCCTATAATAATAAATTGTAAACATATAATATATACATTATAATATATTGTAGATAGATCGACAAAAAAAAAAAATTTAATAGCAAAATTTATAGATCATATACCAGACAATGATTGAACATTTACACCCCACTTAGACTTATCTAAATCGAATGCTTCTAGAGCTCTTTGTTGACATAAAGTTTCAACTTGATCAATAAATTGATTTCCACCATAATATCTATTATTTTTAATTGAACAAATTTTAACAAGTTATAACTCTTATACGTAAATAATAATTGTTACAACTGAGGCTGATGCTGGCTGATGTAAACCTATTTTTAATATAAAGTTATAATAATTTTTTTGGAGAATTCTTCTTTTTAGAGTAAGGTTAGGATTTAGGGTTAGAGTTATTAATAGGGTATAAATGAATGTTACAGAATAACAACCTGTAGCTATACTTAATGATTTATTATGATCAATTACAGGTTTTCACACTGCAACACTCATATGGACTTTAATAAGTTTAGCAGATTTACACAAAGATCTTAAATCTTAATATCAGC